AATTGTAAAGCAGAAGGGACACTGCAATGAAAATGGCTAACATACCGCGAATGATCTCCATGAAAATGGAATAAAAGATGGTAGTGTAGGCAGTGTTCAATACTGTGAAGAACCAGAACAAATCAAGAATATGTCAATGCAAGACAATAGTAAGTTCAGCTTCCCTAATGTTGTTATTGAGAAACAGCATAAGAGAGCCAGAGAATTTTTAACAAATTTCTGGGGCCTCAAGTGAAGTAGCAAAAGGGATTAATTTATACTCCTGTAAAATGACCTCCAAAAACTGTTCTGATGTCTATGGTTGACACGTGTCATATTCCAGTTGATTGCAATATCATTGTCTTTTAATTAACAGCTGGGGATAATTTGGAGGATGGCTTGTGTGGCGAATGTACTTGATTCTTCAGTAGAAATCAAAGCTTTCATCTTACCTTTTTATTTCTGTTTGTCATTTTTTTTCCTTTCAATTTGTTTTAGTTCTTGTAAAACTTTGAGGGGGGAGAGTAAAATCATACTAAATCACTTGGCTAAGGCATAATTCGCCCCGCTCTTAACTTTAAGACTGATTTTCGAGTGCCCCTAACGAGAGATTAATTCAAGCGTCATAACTGGTCAAACCTTGCTAGCTAATTTGATGCTGCTACCCTCTCTGCATTTGATGATCAATGGCCTGCTTTTCCTTCTTGTTTCTGTCCCTTTTTAATAGAATAACATTTGCTGTTTTTAGTTGCCTAACAAGTAATAAGGTTAGGGTAGGACTGGGAGGGACTTGCATCGTCAACAGTATTACCAGCTTGCGAGCTGCTTTGAGGCCCGTATTTCATAGTGCCAAAACCAGGTGCTGCATTCTTTTGGCTTTCATAGTGCCAAAACCAGGTGCTGTATTCTTTTGGCTTCTGCTGCGGGCAAGGCTTCTAAACAACTAACAAGCATTCACACATAAACCTCTTTTCTTCTTCTACAAAGGGAAAAACATTGTGGAAATATGTCTTGTCTTGTTCATGCATAATCTATGCGTCGCACAGGAAACATTTCATGCCATCATCATGCATCCAAACTTTAAATTCATTCGTTGTCATGATCTCTAAAATGGAGAGTTCTTAGTAGCTATTGGCAGTCAATAAGGAGTCAGAACTCAAAAACTTGCAACAGCTTAAACTAGTTCAGCTGTGCTTGATTGACTCTTATAATGAAATGATGATGATTCTTCCATCCAGCTATTTAAAAATCATTATAGCATATAATTTAGCATAAAAAATAATTTCTGGACCACGATTCCAAACTCATTTACTTAATGTCGACCTTGATCATGTAATAACAAAGGACTATAATTAAGCTGGCTGTTCCAAATAACTAGATTCCAGCCCTTGAGACAAAAGTTATTGCCTGCGATTGAAGCCAAAAAACAAGATCCATGAAATGCATACGCAAGGAAAGCTAACAGAAGCAACCTAGCCTAATATACGGTGTCAACTAGAAATTGGCTCTACAAAAAACAATAGGGTGATTTTGGCCATCCCATATCTGGCATTAGCCTGTGTATTGTACGTATATAAAACCCTGAAGAGAGGGAATTAAACAATTCTTAATACATAAACAAAATATTGATTGATTGTGTTTTGCAACTAATTAACAAGTTAACTGCATCTGCCAAACCCTTTTTGCAGAAAGAGAACTTAGCAATTCCCCTCGGTATTGTAGAAGTCTTTTTAGCCATATTCTGAACACAGGCAATCAACCTTCTTATGCATGGCAACCGTTATTCTATTTTGGTTTATGACTCGCTTCTCGTTAGGCTTTTCGATCATCGTATATGTATCACGTCATTAAAGGACCCGCTCACGGGATTAATTCTGCACTTAAATTAGGGAAAATAAAGATATCACAGTGGCATATTAATTACATCATCTGGACATAATATTACATGGACGATTTAATTTTAAATCTAGCTTGATTATTTAGGTTTTAGATATATTTTTTAAAAGCTATTAATTGGAGTATCATAAATTTTAAAATTATTAAAAATTTATATAGTTATTAATTTTAAAATCTTAAAAAAATAGTTAAGACATGATCCATGATTTCATATGATTCCATTAATAGCTGCTGATCACCTGGCTGCTCTTTCAGGGAAGGAGAAACTTCTTATTAATTAAAAATTATTGTAGCAGCAATCTGGTAACATAGGAATGTTGTGGGTTGATGTGAAGAAAATCAGTGGAGGCTCCCGTGACTCGTTGTTGTTTGTTAGCTCTTTGTGGTCAATAGAAGTTACAAGTAAGAAACATGCTGTAGGTCCACGGCGAGAGAATAAAATCATTCACGGGGTGAATCCAAAACCTATGGTCCATAACAAAAACTAAAAATTAAAAAAAAAAAATGCTAGCAGTCTCTCTCGCTAATGACCGAGAAAACAGCATGAACAAATCGACTTTTGCCACTCACACGACCCCTACGCAAGCAAGTTGATAGCCTGCTTAATGAATGTGCTTTTATTTAAAAAAAAAAAAAAAAAACTTGAAGAGGAGGGCTTTAATTATTTGTTGGTGAAAATCGGAATTTGTGGGTTTATGCACCTACATGCGTTTGTCTTAGTCTGTCACATGCGTACTCTTCTCACGGGATGATTAGATTAGGGGCTCAAAAGTCAGGATACTGTGACTTTTTAGAATGTGGATGTGCTTTTTGTACGTGATCGATCGATCCCCTCAAGCATTGATGTTTGAGTTTGTGGTTTTAAGCCTGGCACCCCGACATGATGTCCTTTCTCTTACATGTGTAAGATGGCCTTTCTCTATTCCACGCCCCACACTCGCTATATTATTGGTCTGGTAGGCTCAAGCAACGGGCCTGTCTATGTGGGCTTTTTCTATCACCATCATCATGTCATTCAATCAGTTTTTGCGTCTCGAATAAGTTATAATTTATAATATGAGTTGATGCTTCCGGTAAGCTACAAACAAATTTCCGGGAAAATGCATTGGAAAATAAATCCAAGTGATCTTAAGGATATGATATTATAGTTTGTTTTAAAAAATTTGCTATTGTTCACGTGATAAAAGACTGGACAAAAATGATGCTTTAAAAAATAAAATTCACATAATAATAGAAACAAAACTACAATATAATTATCGAAAGCATACCTAACAATAACAGTAACAGTAACAAAAATCACAGGAACAGTATGTGAACATTTCTCTGGTTCCTTCCCGTCTTCCAACTTTCAAAGTTCCAACCCAGAAAAAAAAAAATCACATGCAGCATAGCAATCTGATGATGTTGATGAATTCAAGGTGACACACTGGAGTTGAAAGATCTGGGATGTGAGTCACGGGTGGGGGGGTTTGAATAAAATTTAAACTCCACCTGGATTCTTTAATTATGCAGGGTTTTGGATGCATAAACCAGATTTTAGAGAATTTTTTTGAGGACTATATCCCATTTAACCCTTGATTTATTTTTTAATGTAATTAGCATTATTGACACATGTGTTGCATGTGAATTAATAAATATTAGATAAAAAAATATTAGAATTGAATTCAAGAAATGAAAAAAAAAACAATAAAATACTATGTAGGAATGAGATTTGAATAAAATCATGTATAGAAATTAAAAATATGAGCATAATTTTCTTTTTACAAATTGTTTCGTTTAAATGAATCTTCTTTTAATATTAACAGTGATGATAAATAGAAAATAATAAGAATTTTGTGATTTTTTTCGTTGAAAGAAGTAAAAAATAAAGTAAAACAACAAGGATCTCATATATATATAAGGATCAAGTTTAATAATTTGATGTATTTTAATTATTTGAATTGCTGGCTTTTGTTGATATAATCTTAGGCATTTTTAGAATTTTAATATTCAAAATAAAGTATCAATAAGGTACAATAAAGGTTAGGGGTGATTTAAAAAACTTACTTTATTGTATTATTTAAGATTTTATTTGATTTACAAATAGTTTTATTATGGAAAATGGGATTAACCTATGTTTTAGGAATATATATATATATATATATATAAGGATCAAATTTAATAATTTGATGTATTTTAATTATTTGAATTGCTGGCTTTTGTTGATATAATCTTAGGCATTTTTAGAATTTTAATATTCAAAATAAAGTATCAATAAGGTACAATAAAGGTTAGGGGTGATTTAAAAAACATACTTTATGGTATTATTTAAGATTTTATTTGATTTATAAATAGTTTTATTATGAAAAATGGGATTAACCTATGTTTTAGGAAATACATTAGTACTAAAAAATATCTTCCTTTTATATACAGTAGAAGTCTCTATAAATTTGGCGTGTAGTGTTTTTAAAAGATAAGATATAATGTATTTAATATTTATTAATAAAATTATCTAGATACAAACAATGATTATTAAGAATTTAAATATATTTTTTCCAATCAAATATTTCAACATATAATTCATAATTTTATAAATAGTTATTGGCTTGCTGAGTTATGGACACCTGTCATAGCGATCATCCTCTCTTGTGAAGGAAATCTCCGTGTAGAGATCGGCAATACCATAAAAATCTTTCCATGTGGCTGTCTGCTTAGGGTTTTTCTAATTTTCAATGCTACATGTTTTCTTAGAAATCCAAATCAACAATTGAAATCGCGAAAGAGAATTGAAGAATGGAACTGAATTCGTCAGTTCTTAAATAAAAAACTCACCGCAGAAATAACATGGGAATAGAAAAATAATTCCCTGCTTGCCACTCTGCATATTTTTATTTATTATTGGGTAGATTTGATTTTATAACATGGAAATAGAAAAATAATTAAAGCAAACTTACATCTGTACTGTGTAAATAATATTTTTTTAATATTTTAATTAAAATCTAATTTTTAATCAGCGAGTTAGACAAAATTATATATATTTTAACTCATAACAAATGAAGAAAAGAAAAACTTGGGAAGGATAGCATAAATTTTAAAGTGTCCATGAAGGATTCGATTAGTGACCCAGTGGCATTGATGTTCCTTTCTAGCATGGCAGCGATATCGATATGAACAACGCCTGTTCGCCTAGACTGGGAACTGGGAAGGATGGCATAAATTCGAAGCTTGACATTGCTATTGCTATGACATGGTTTACCATGGCATTTATTCACTCTTCTTCTTCTTCTTCTTCCTTTTTTTTTTTTGGCACAGGCATTTATTCACTCTTGCATTCAGTATTTATGTCTACTATGAGCCCACATAGTTTTCATATTTAGATTATTTGGAATGCTTAGGACTTTTTTTTTTTTTTCCTCATTAGCGAAGTAAGTTATGGCAGAACTTTCTCTATCAACTTCTTTGTGCATTGATATTAAAATATAGTAAAGTAGTGAGTTTGGCCAAGATTAAAAATAGTTGTTTTCTCCCCCGAAATTATGTTTTTTTATGCAGTTTGCTAAAAGTTATAATTCGTCAAATTATAAAGATTTCTAATTATAGTAACAATTAAGTTCTTGTTACAGGATCGAAGATCGTTCGTTGTTTTTACCCATGCGGAAAGTGGATGGTACCACTGATTCATGGAAGCTTCTTTTTCCAGATGCAGCCGCTTCTTTCTTATGGGAAGATTTCGGTAGACCAGGATTACTGGAATTTTTAGTTGAAGGGACTGATTCACTGAAATCATTGAAATACAATATTGATGAGATTCTTGAACACCAACCAAATCATGCAGTAGGTCACACTGCTAGAGCGTTACGTGTTACGTTGATTCTAAAGGAAGGCAAAATGAACATTGTTAGGATCAGTGACTGGATGCCAGAAAATGAAACTTCTTCGATAACAGGTAGAAGAGTCCAAACACCATCACCACAACCTTCTGGAAATGTCTCTCCACAACAGCAGTTGCCATCCTCCACGGGTTGTAAATTTCATGTAGTTCTTGAGCTTGCTGGGCTTGGAACATCTGTTACTGAACACACACCGAGGAGATTTTATACCTGTCAGTCCAGAATCTTCTTTTAGCATATTCTACTGATTTTAGCAGGTAAGACACTGTCTTTGAATTGATTTTTCATTCTGTAGAATGGTTTGTCAGTTACAATCTTCAATGTAGTTTCACAAAGTTGAGCATCAGGGGTGAGCAAGAGCTTGTATTGTTGACTTCAATTTTTTTTTTTTTTGAATGCATGCTTGGTTGTCTCGTAAACACTTCTCTCCTAATGGTTTTAGTGGATCCCTTCGTAAACACTTCTCTCCTAATGGTTTTAGTAAACACTTGATGTTCATGGACATCCAAATGACTCTTGGCATGTATTTTATACTTGTTTTGTATTTTTCTCTCATGGAGTTTGAGTACAGGTTTTTGGTTTACTTTAAGGATTGCATAGATCAACAAGCTGGAACAGAGTATTACTGTTTATATCCAAGATCCAAGAGCTCGAGATGAATGCCTAGCTTAGTGATTGTAGATAATTTCATTGAAGTTTCTGTACCAATTCTCTCAGAAATTTTTCCCGTATGTGCTTTCTTGTCACTAGCATTATTAGGAGCGTGTAGATTATGTACTGATTCTTTTTTCAATTATCTGAATTGAAAAGTTGAAAGGGATATTTTTTTCTTCTGGTGGTTGCAGCCTTCATGAATTTTGCTGGGGCAAATCACACGATACAAAAAATTAACCGTTGTGTCAGTTGATCCAATTATTCAAATTGGGTATGCTAAAACCTATCTTGAAACATAGCTTTTGCACATATCAAACTTAGTTTTTATCTAATATTCTTCCAGTTACAGTGTTATTAACATCTCAAAAGTTCGATTCAAAGCCTCAATGGCTATGTCACGTAGTCAAATGCTAAGACGAGTGCTTGGATTCTGGTCTCCCTTGATGACTGCTCTGGGCAGCACTGAAAATATGCCTGTGAGTATGCATTTCTTCTTCTTCCTTTTTCGAAGTTCTGAGATCTCCTTTAAATGTTTTGACTGTCAAATTCCCCCAAGTATACACGACTACTATCTTGAGTATTGATCCAAGATTAGAATACTGAATAATTTGATTATCAATTATCCAAATCTTGCCTCTAAACACACAGCACATTTTTGGGTAGTTTGATCCCTTTGTGCCCTACTGCTCGTAGTCATTGCTAATGTGGGCTTGGTATTTTGTGGTGGCTTATTGTTGGGCCGCTGCCTCTAATCCATAGCAAATTGCGTGTCCATTGAGCTTAGCACTCGTGTTTTCAAATATCCGTTGTGTTATTGCATTCCGCTATCCACTTAAAGTTAAATTTCTGTTTTCAACATGAAAAATTAATATTGTTACATCGGCGCAAATGCCTTTTGCAATTGAAATGCTGAAGATGAGTTGCCTTCTATATGTTGATCAGGTGAGATAAAATCAAAGATTTAATGAGAGCATGTGCATGAGACAAAGCTCTTAGATTGGTATCGCTATCTCAAACATTAGAAAGGATTTATTGGCCAACCTCTTCAACTGCTCTCTCGTGTTGATATATTGGGCATTGCAAGTAGCGCGCATGGACATATGAGTAGAGGTTAAGCCGCTTCATCGATGGATAAAAAATTCATCCAGATTCGGCAGAGACAGGTCTGCAATAAAATTTTGATTTATCTTCTCTTTACTGTTCCGTATGAGTGAATGAATAGAGTTTTTACTAGATCAAGAACTTAATAGTGTAAATTATAAGCACCATATCCTGAATGATTAGAAGCCTCTGTGTTGTTTATTAAGGATGAAGCATTCGATTACTGGCTCATCTGATATGAATTTAAGTAGGAGTCTCTAGCGATGTACAATGTAAGTAGATGGAAGACACAGGAATTTAGTATATTTCTGTGCTAATCATGGGCTGTATGCATATGTTCTTCTTCCTCTTTCATATTGCTTTTTAGCATTACATGATAAATCATAAGGCCCTAGCTCAGAGTATGGCCTGTGTTTTCATTGACCATCCGCTCCAGCAAGCTTGCCATTGCTCCTGAAAAGGCAGCTTGAGGAATTTCTTTGTCCACTGATCTTCATTTGTTTGTTTGTTTTCTCATTTAGGTGGAGAGTGGTTGATAAAGCATATGGGTGAATTTTATGCAAAATTTTACGCCGCCTCATCCCGGAGACAGGGTGAGTGCCAGGATGCCAAGATTTGGCTGCCATTGAAGGATTTCTCATCTTCCTGTCCGCATGTTTTTGCTTTGTCCCACACCATATATCCTTGTGCCATCTTTTAATTAGATTCTGAAATTTTGAAATTTAAATTTATCTACCAGGAGAACAAGGTTGTCGAGGACCTTGGTGATGTCATTAGGGAGGGAGGTGGAGCGCTAGAAAAAGGCCTGTTTAGAGGAGTTACTGGCATTCTAGCAAAGCCTACTGAAGAAGCAAAAAGTTTAGGTTTTGTTCAGGGAGTTGGAAAAGGAAAAACAGGTGCAGCTGCCCAGCCAGTCAGTTGGGCTTCCTTGTGCTATGACTGGCGATGATTTGCTTCGACCTTACAATGACTACAGAGCCCAAGGACAGGTAGCCTTGCTTGTGTCATTTACAGATCATGGTTTGACTTTTCTGGTCTTTCAATGAGTTGTCTGTCGTGATCCCGATGCTCTAAGAATCTGATAAATTCTTTCATACAAGTTGGTGTAGATATATTGAATTGCTTGCATTTAGATGTATGTATGCATATCTAGCAGATGAGAATTTCTCTCTAAGATAGTAGGCAGAGAGGGGGGCACATGAAGGAAAGAAGGATAAAATTACTTGCATGATTTTTTTCTTCACCTGAATAAATTACAGGCTCACACAAAGTTTTTACGGTGGGGACTTATTTTGGACACCTATCCTGGTATCTTGTTAAAACGCACGGCACTCCGAGCTTATTTAATGTTACTCATCCCGGAGACAGGGTGAGTGCCAGGATACCAAGATTTGGCTGACACTGAAGGATTTCTCATCCCCGCCCTGATCCCATTCCTGTCCGCGTGTTTTTGCTTTGTCCGGCAGGATATAACCTTGTGCCATCTTTTAATGATAATCTGGAATTTTGAAATTTAAATTTATCTACCAGGAGAACAAGGTTGTCGAGGACCTTGGTGATGTCATTAGGGAGGGAGGTGGAGCGCTAGAAAAAGGCCTGTTTAGAGGAGTTACTGGCATTCTAGCAAAGCCTACTGAAGAAGCAAAAAGTTTAGGTTTTGTTCAGGGAGTTGGAAAAGGAAAAACAGGTGCAGCTGCCCAGCCAGTCAGTTGGGCTTCCTTGTGCTATGACTGGCGATGATTTGCTTCGACCTTACAATGACTACAGAGCCCAAGGACAGGTAGCCTTGCTTGTGTCATTTACAGATCATGGTTTGACTTTTCTGGTCTTTCAATGAGTTGTCTGTCGTGATCCCGATGCTCTAAGAATCTGATAAATTCTTTCATACAAGTTGGTGTAGATATATTGAATTGCTTGCATTTAGATGTATGTATGCATATCTAGCAGATGAGAATTTCTCTCTAAGATAGTAGGCAGAGAGGGGGGGCACATGAAGGAAAGAAAGATAAAATTGCTTGCATGATATTTTTCTTTACCTGAATAAATTACAGGCTCCCACAAAGTTTTTATGGTGGGAACGTATTTTGGACACCTATCCTGATATTTTTTTTGTTGGATTAATATGGATATTTGGATTAGTTTTTATATATTACGAATTAATTTTATAAATTCTGAAATTAATGAACTTAAACCTGAGATAATAAAAAATTACTATTACTTTTAAATTTTAAGTTATCACTTTATCATTATCTAAATAATTACTATCCTGTATCTTATTAAAACACACAGTACTCCGAGCTTATTTAATGTTACAGGTTCGTAGATCTTAAGGCTCATTTATTAATCACGTGGTTCGTAGATCTTAAGGTTCATTTATTAATCTCGTGTCTTGTAAATATTACCACTGCTCTGAATCCCTTCTACATTTTTCTTCCTGAGAGTTATCTTGCAGCTGGCAGAGTCAGGTTCAGATTTAGCCAGGTTGATATACCTAGAGGGTGTTTATTTATGTGGCTGTTTCTGCTTTTTAAGTATACCACATAAATAAATTGTTTGGTTAATGATTAAAAGTAATTTATTGTTTGCATAATCCAATATAATTTATGTTTAAAATACAAGGTAATTGAAAGCAGCTTCAGCCTGCTCCTCCTTCTTCCCACGTCTTTGGTGTTTATAGTCGGACGGGGAATACCTTGATTCTGAATGCATTAAACTGGTATAACTTAATAAAATAAAAAAATTAATTTTTTAATTCTTAATTATATTTTATTTAAAAAACTAATATTTCATATTATTTAACAGCACTATATAAATTAAAAAAAGATTACATAATAATATAGCATTTATAAAATTTAATCATAATTTTAATTTTATTTTTGATAATATTTTATATTATTGCACGTTCTAAAATATTTTAATTTTATTTTTGATAATATTTTACATGATATTATTGCACATTCTAAAAAGTTCTAAAATTCATAAAAATTATGGTCTTTATCAAATAGATTTCATACGTTATGAAATTACATATAATTTAATGAAATAATAAAAAAATATTTTATATAAAATATTATTTATTTCATGATATAATAACAGCAGTTAAATTTATAATATTTAAATAAAAAACTATCTGTATTAATATATATCTTTTTTATTTATTTTATAATTTTAATTTAAAAAATATTTTTAATCAAAAACATTAAATTATTTTAAATTTAATAATAATTTAAATTAATTATATATAAATATTAAATCAATCATAATTAAAAATATTTTTTATAAAATATTTTTTTAAACCACACAAAATACAAAAAAGTGCGTGGCAAGATTGCCTTGTCAGATGCTTAAGAAGATCACTTTATGCTCCCTGGAAGAGATGTCACTGTGTTAACGCGTCGAAGAGTCGTGTCAAGCTCCTTCACAAGAAACGTAAGTGCTGTATTTCCTTTCCTGTCCATTATTGACCATTGCAGGCAGGGCTTGCCTTCGGAGTGAAGCTTTGTATTGTTGTTGTCTCGAATGTTCCTGGAAACATATTTGTAATTTTCAGAAATGGCAGAAAATGGGCTTAAGATACTTTTGAGTATTGATAATGGAAAAGAGAAGGATCGGACTTTTAAATAGTGAACAATTTGTTTGGAGTTTGAATGGTAAAATCTTACTAATAAGTGAAATTGAAATTATGTAAATCGAGAATACATGCAAATTAAATGTTTTAATTTTCCTTTCTTTCCGTTTTTATTTTCTGTGATTTTTAATGCTCTAGGGTATCTTTTGGTTAGCCTTTTGGTTCATAACAAGGTCAGATTTTGGACGGGAGATTCTCACGTTCATAACATTTTTATTTTCGATTATGACAAGGTCAGATTTTGGACGGGAGATTCTCGCGTTCATAACATTTTTTATTTTTGATTATGTTAAAATTATTTTTTAAAAAATAAAAAATATATAATTTTAATGTATTTATAAATAAAGAATAGCTGTTATTATATTATTTTGATTATTTCATATTTTTAAGGTATTTTAATTGATCAATGTTAAAAATAATTTTTTTAAATAGAAAATATATATTATATTAATACATTTAAAAATAAAAAATAATTTAAAAAATAACCGGTTCTATCTCATAAAAAAACCCACACGTATAGAATTAGAATGAGTTCAATTTCGTATTAAATCTATGGTTTTCAAACACGATTAGAGAATATTATATTTTCTTTCTTGCTCGAATTGATGCAAGCGAATTGGGTGCTAGAGAATCTGGCACCAGTGGATTTTTATTTTTTATGGAAATAAAGTGTGTGGACTGCGTGTTTTCTTTACGAGATTCTTCTCCCCTCTCGCTCGATCCAGAACTTTCTTAATGGACTCCAGGGTGGGTCCCTAGAGGCGTCCATTGCACGCCTGAATCGTCCATATCTTAAACGAAAAACCTAAATCCAGCCGTTCACGTTCGTTGTTCCTTGATCTGCTCCGTACACGTGTGAAGAGCCCAACTCTATTCTTCTAACCATTATAAACCAACCTTCGCGTTCCTATAAAAGCAATCTCTAGCGATCTGTAATTTTCTCATCTTGGAATCCAAAACACAAATCCTGCTCGGAAAAAAAAAAAATTGTCTGTTTTTGAGTTCTGTCGAGCAAGAAAGTAGATATATGGTTGGGCTAGAATTCGAGATTCCTAGCGCTTTCGATCCATTTGCCGATGCCAAACAGTCAGGTGGCGCAGGGACCAAAGAGTATGTGCACATACGCATACAGCAAAGGAATGGAAAGAAGAGCTTGACTACAGTTCAGGGCCTTCCTAAAGAGTTGAGCTACGAAACGATCCTCAAGACTCTCAAGAAAGATTTCTGTTGTAATGGGAATGTTGTGCAGGACAAGGAACTTGGCAAGGTCATTCAACTCCAAGGTGATCAACGCAAGAACGTCCAGAATTTCCTTGTTAATCAGAACATTGTGAAGAAGGACCAGATCAAGATTCATGGTTTTTGAATCAATCTAGTATTTACTACATCTAAATTATTAATTACGATACTGTGTTTGTGTTTGATCTTTTTCTCTCCTTTATGCCGCTGAATTGTTGTTATTGTAACAGCAGTAATGCGTGTTTTCAGTTTCAACAATAAGAAGAGTAATAGTTTCTTAAACTTTTGTGTCCGTGTTGAGCAATCTGTGATTCTCCCTTCGCTGTTCTGAACGTTGTGTGGTCTTGGAATTACGAGTTCTTTAAAGACCATTTTTTATTAAAAAAAAAAAAGTTACACCTTCATGTGGATTGTGGAGAGCACATTTCACAGGTCATGGTACAGTTAAAAGCTCGTTCAAGATGCTGTGGAGTGGTAGGAGTTGTTTGGACATGAAGATGTATTTTAAAGTAATTTTTGTATAGAAATATATTTAAAAACTATTTATTAAGTTTTTTTATATCAGTATATAAATCAATTCAAAAAAATAAAAATTTGCAAAACTACAGATTAATCACCTCTTTAAAAATAGAAATAAACATTTTATTGGTTGTTCCCAAAGTTTTCTATACCGTTGTTGAAGACTTTTCGGATTTTTAGTTGGTACGAAACTTTTCGGTGCAGACAACTTTTTTTTAACGTTTCGTTTCCGAGTTAGAATTATAATAAATATATTTATTAATGAATTCATGGACAAACATCTTCGGTGCTGGGGGCAAGATGTTATGGAAGCGCTGATGTATACTCGAAGTTGAGAACATTTTATTGGTTGTTCCCAAAGTTTTCAATACCTTTTCCAAGACTGAATGCGTGGTAATATAATGTGTAAATTGTTGTGAATGTATTTATGGTTAGACAAATAAGATAAAGTCTATGAAAGTCTTGATGCATTAAATGCATAGGATAATGAAATGATCAACTTAAATTTTTATGAATGATTTTAGAGATTAAGCTTGAAAAATGGTGTTTTAATTATTTTTTAAATGATTTTAGATTTTAATTACTCTTAATAATTAGATTTAACTTAATTTTTATTAAGTCATTTTTAAATCTTATATGAATAATTGATGTGCCCACGAGTTGAATCACAAAATTTTCATAAAAAAATCAGGCTATTCTATTATTTTCTTATAGTTTTGTATTATAAACTTAAAACTTGAGAATTATAGTTTTATATGAAGTGTTTCCATAGGTTATGGTATTGTCTTGTATGTAATCACTACCACCTGCAGATATTTCATAAAATAACTTTCTCTTAGTATCAGAGCTACTTTATCTTTGGTGAACGCTACAGAGCCTCTGCATGCTAAAAGACTTGAATTAAATACACAGGTTCCTGATCTCCATCATCAGATCAAGAATTTAAGAAATAGACTGCATGATGAGAGACGTCACATCACCTATCTAAACGCATCATTGTTTTTTGCCTCATGTTTAAATTTGTTCAAGGTATAAACAGAATAAACCATTTACTTTCCATATGCATCTTATTAAAATAAAATAAAAAACTGATACACGGAGTTAATTCACTGTTTATTCCTCTTTTCTTGAATTACCCATTATAAAAAGCTAATCAAAACTCTATCCCTATACAATTTACATAACCTGAATTCATCACAAAACTCTATCCCTATACAATTTACATAACTTGAATTCATCAAAAACTAATAGTACTATTAAAATTATTTTCAAAAAGGGAAAATCTTATTTTTTTTGCTGCTCCCTTTAAGCTTTATTTCATGAGGATAAATCGTCATTGTTATTATTATTAATTGGAGACAATGAAACCTTTTAATTTTGTATCTAATAATATAATAATTAGGATACCTTTTAAGAGAATAAGAAGCGAGGTGAATAGTGAAAATATTTTCCTTGGTAAATTTTAAATGATCACATGTTGTTTTATTTATAGATATTTATGGACAAAATAACTCTATTACAAGATACATTTGAAAATATTTAAATTTACAAAGAGTTTATTATTTTATGATTTTGCTTCTTTGAACGTGATCTTTTTCTTCTTGGTTGTTTTGAATTTGAGCTTTATCTGGCGCGTGAAGTTTATCCATTTGTTGAGATTTGGTTGCTCCATTACACCCTCTTAATCCCAATGGAAGCTAATGAACATTGAGATTATCATGGAGATTACAGAATCGTGCAGTTGAGAGTGCCTTTGTGAATGAATCAATGATCTTATTTGTACTGAAGATGAATTGAACCTGAAGATAATGCTAGGCAACCTGATCACGCGCTAAGTGAATATCCAGTTCAATTTGCTTTGTATGTGAGTGATATAAAGGATTTGCAGTTAGATACGTGGCTCATATATTGTCGCACTAGAGTGTAAGTAGAGTTGCACTTAGGATGCTGAGTTCAATGAGGAGAGATCAGAACCACATAACTTTAGCGGTGGTATTGACAACTGCACGATACTCTACCTCAATGCTTGAACGTGATATTGTTGGTTGTTTACGTGAGCTCCATGAAATTAAATTAGAACCAAGGTATACACAGTAGACACTAATAGATCGTCTGGCATCAGGACAACCAGCCCAGTTGACATCGGAGAAGGCATATATGTCGGTGGATGAGATACGGTGAATGAGAATGTCGTGGTGGATGGTTTGCTAGAGATAATAAAGAATCCATTTGATAGCAGTCCAATGGTCTTTCGTGGGACACTGCATAAACTGACACACTTTGCTAACATCAAATACAAGATCTGGTTTGGTAAATGAGAGATATTGGAGAGAGCTAACTGTGCTGCGATAAAGTGTTAAATCACTGAAGGGATTGCCTTTAAAGAGTGATAAATTGTCTGTTAGGGATATGAGGGAGTTCAATGGATTGGTATATAGCATATTTATCTTCTTGAATAGGTTAAAAATATACTTTTATTATGAGAGAAAAAGGCCACGGTTATCCTGTAGAGCTTCAATACCAAGAAAATAGTAAAGGTGCTTAAGTCTTTAAAAGGAAAATCTTATTGCAGATTTGTAATGATGGAGTGTAGAAAAGATTTATTAGGGATAGTGATAATGATATCATCAACATATATGAGGAAATAAATGACAAAACCTATTGTGATCTAAAAATGAATAATGATGTATCGGCTTTGAAAGCAATAAAGCCCATTGTTACCGGTTTATTAGTAAGTTTTGAGAACCAGGCATGAGGTGCTTGTTTAAGCCCATCAAAGGATTTTTGAAGATGACACACATACTCAGGACATGATGGATCAAAAAATCTAGAAGGCTGGTTCATATAAACTTTTTCTTATAGGGTCCTATATAAAAAGACATTTTTTAATCTAAGTGTCGATTGAGCCAATTTTGTGATACTGCAAAAGAGATAACAATTTGAATGGTAGTGGGTTTTACCAGTGGACTAAAAGTATCATTATAATCAATAACTGGTATTTGGTGAAAGCCTTTTGAAACTAGATGGGCTTTGTAATATTTTATGGACCCATCAGCCCATTTTTTAATTCAGTAAACCCATTTACAGCTCATAAGATTTGTGTTGGGCTTTAGAGGGACTAGGACCTATGTGTTGTTGTCAAGTAAAACTTGAAATTTCTCGTCAATGGCTTGTCTTCAATGTGGGCTTTTTTAGGCTGTAGTGAAGGAAGTAGGCTTAATGGATCTTAATGAGCAAGGCCCATGGAATGGAAGCCATACTAGGTGGTCTATTCTTAAGTCTGTGTACGTTGTTTTTAGATCGTTTCATCGTAGGGTGTTAGTTTTGTTGCTCAAAATTAGATTCTAATGGGGAGCTTGAAATTGAGGGAGGGCATAATTCAAACGCTGGTTAGGTTGGTGGAAAAAAAAAGGTCATTTGACAATGGATTTGTCTACGAGATGCAAAGGGATAAGGGCAGTATTGGGGGGGTTTGGGAATCAGGAGAGGGAGGATGCGTTTGTGGGAATAGAAAACGAGTTTAATCGAAGATGAAATGCCTAGAGATAAAGATTCTGCTAGTGGATTGGTGCAGGCATAGATATCCTCAATGGGTGGGGTTGTAGCCAAGAAAAACACAAAGATCTGAGTGGTAATCCATTTTATGGGAGTTATATAGTTGAAGGTAAGGCCAATAAGTGCAGCTGAAGGTGTAAAGAAGAGTGTAATCTAGAGTTTATTTGAATAGGAGTTCAGGTGGTGTTTTATTGTGAATGACAGGAGATGGAAGACAATCTATAAGATAGGTGGCAATGAGGAAAGCATCATCCCAGTATTGTTGTGAGAGAGATAAATTGGCCTTCAGTGTGAGGCCAGTCTCAATAATATGGCGATGATGACTACTGACCCCTTTTGTTCGTGACTGTGTGGGCAAGATAAATGATAGACGATGCCAGAGTTAAGAAGATGTGATTTTAAGGCTTAAAATTCACCTCTAAAATCAGTTTGGATGCTTTTGATTTTGCAATCAAAGTAGCATTCAATTTGAAGTTGAAAATTGATAAAGGTATGGGCAACCTGTGATTTGGCATCAAAAGGAAATAGCCATATGAATTTAGAGAAATCATCAATAATGCTTAAGTAATATTTATTTCCACGAACAAATTCAGTGGGTGATGACCCCTATACATCTATAAATAGTAACTGAAAAAGAGAAGATAAGATAGAAGTGGACAAATAAAAAGGTAATTTATGACTTTTTCCTAAGTGACAAGTATGAAAAACTGGAAAATATTTATTGTTTGTGATTACTAGATGAAACTTGGAGAGAATGACTTTGACTGTGCGTAAAGCAGGGTATCCGAGGCGTGCATGCCATTGTGGAATCGAAGCTTTTTGGCTGAGGTAAGAAGCTGGACTGATGGATGGAGAAGTGAGAGTACACAGAGAACAAATGCCATTTTTACTCGGTACTTGAAGAAGGATAGCGCCCGAGGATAGATTTTTGATATAGAAACAAGAATGGTGAAATTCTAAATACACGTTATTATTATTTATGAATTAATGAACTAACAATAAGTTCTTTTTTATTTCAGGAGCATGTAGGATGTTATTAAGAAAGAAAGATTTAAAAGTAGAATAAAGAAGAGAAGAACCAGTATGAAGAATTTTTAAACCTTGGTCATTTCCCACCTAAATTTAATTAGGTCCAGTGTAAGGGTCGGCGTTGAGTGAAAGGTTGCTGAGATTGGAGGTAATGTGATTGGTGGCACTAGTGTTAGGGTACCAATTTTAATTATAGAGGGGTGCAGGAAAGTGAACTATGTTTGCTTGAGGAATGAATGGAGAAGGAGAGTGATGTTGCTGGTTAAATTAATACTAATAATTTGCTGCTATATGGCCTATTTTGGAGCAGATCTGACATTGAGGTCTGTTGGAGAGTGGTTGTTGTTAAGGGAAGAAATTTTGGATTCCATACCCCCCCATCTCTAGACTGATTACCATAGTGAGAGCTCCTCTATATGAAGGCAGACCATGATGACCTCGATTGGAGGTGACAATGTTAGCCGCGAGTAGGCTGAATTTAATGGAGGAGTTTTGTTGGTTAAGATGATTTTCATAAGTGAAGAGGTAATCATATAAGTCATAAAGGGAGATAGGTTCAAGTCTGGTGGTAATAGAGATGACAAGAGAGTCATAGGAGGGGGGAGACCAATATGAAGATATGAGGTGATTTCTGAGGAGTCAAGAGGATGATTAATAGCAAATGAAATATCTAACAATTGTTTGATTTTTGTGAAGTAATCAGTGATTATGAGGGAAGCCTTTTTAAGGGTGGAGAGTTGGAAATACATGTTGAGAATACAAGCAGATGAGGTAAAGGATAATGTTTTCTCTAATACGAGCTAGATATCTTGTAAAAATGTGAGACCCACAATTTGTGTAAGAAGTGGTTCGGGGAGGGAAGAAAGGATGGCACTGAGAATGATTTGATCTTGTTGGGATTAGTGAATGTATTCAGGATTAGAAATATGAGTAGATAAGGAGGGAATTGTAATAGATGGGCAGGGGATAGAGCCATATGGGTAATAAAAAAGATTTTGACCATGAAGGTATAAGAATAGATGAGCTCACCAAAAAAGATAAATTATCTTGGATGAATTTGATTATGATGAAATGATAAAGTTGGGTAGGGAGAATAGAACTGTCAATACTAGAATAAGAAGAATTGTTAAAGGTCATGAGAAATGTATGTTTTTATAGGTTTTGATACCATAAAAAGAATAAAAAAAGAGGTGAATAGTGGAAATATTTTCCTCGTAATTTTTGAAGGATCACATACTATTTTATTTATAGATTTTTTGGACAATAACAACTCTATTATAAAATATATTTAAAAATATTTGAATTTATAAAGAGTTTATTATTTTTTATTTTACTTTTTTAAATATAATTATTTTTTAGGTTGTTTTGAATTTAAACTTTATATAATGTGTAAGGTTTATCCATTTATTAAGATTTAGTTGCTTCATTATCTTTAGAATCAAAAGAAATCTAGCTGAGATACAAGGGTTTATGCATCTTTTCCTTTGAAATACACAATGACTTTACTTTATTACTCTTTTGAATCATTTTTTTTAAACTTCGGACCGATGGCTGATTCGTCTTTTTCTTATGTTTTTTTTTTATATATAATCATGTCAAATCAAGGGCATTTTTCTTTAAACTCGTGGCTTGGAAGCCCATCTGTGAGTCCATCAGGGAGTTTTATTTTTAATGAAGTTCATCAAGACTTCAGACTTCACATCAGACAAGAAGGAATCTTTCTATAATAATATGCTACAGTGAAGCTCAAGGTAGGAAATATAGCGAGCACTCTAGTGATTACGTGGCACTAGTTTTATCAGTGCCGGATCAAGTCTTCTTAAATCTTAATGTCCCATTTTCAGACAACCGCAGAAACGACGCCGGATGTATGTAGAAACAGCGGTTGTTGATTCTAACCAGCAGCAATGGTGACCCTTTAGTTCACTGAAAATGAAGTTTCAACCTCGAAGATCAGCACTAGCAGCAAGCTCAAAAACCCATTCTAGAAAGAATAGAAGTAAGTCCAGTTTGCTTGTAACTATTTCTTGAACAGCTTCAATTTTCTTCTTCTCTGCTCTCTTTGCATTTATGTTTGTAGATATGCGAAGATTTGGTCATTTGAGTTTGGTGCTTTTCATTGTAGGTTTCTTTTAGTGACTTAATGGTTTCCAAGATCAACATTGTAGCAAGCTAAAAAAAAGCCTGTTTTGGCATTTAAGAAATTAAGTTTCCTCTTCTTGCCGTTTGTCTCTCTTTGCATTACCTGTCTTTGAGGTTGTTGTCTTGTTTTGTATGTTTCTCTAGTCACTTAAATAATTTCATGTTTCTGCTGCTTGATTGATTCATTTGAAAGATACTTGCATTTGTACTTTATTTACTGGTAGATGTTTGTAAAAGCTTTGAACTTTTGTTCTTAATTTCTCTTTTTAAGTTACAAAAATGGATGAAATAATATGATAGGTGATGATTGTATGTGATTTGGTACAGGAGGTGATTAAGATTGTGCTTTGATATGTGAAGATGAAGAGGATCTATTAATTTATCAATGCTAGAACTTGGTAGTTGTGCTTTGCTACTTTGGCATAGTTCCTGAGAATAAAGATGAAAAGAATGGAAAACAGAATTATGGGTGTGTTCCTAGAATATGATACATGAAAAGCTCAGCTTGCCTTTTCAAATTGGCTCAAGCAAGCTTGCTTGAGTCCGGTCTTTTCATTTGCTTGGATTTTATCGAGATTTGTGCCATTTATTTTATTTCTTCTGCCGTGCTTTCTCTTATTTAAATCAGCTATTTTTTTGACCGGTAATGTTGAAAACTCTCTCACATCTATCATCATTGGTTGGTTTGGACAGAGTAAAAATTATAACAGAATAAGTTCAAATTGAAGGCGAAAATTCAAGAATGAGGCTACATTCTTATTTGCAGGTTTTATTGCTTATGACAGTGCTACATAGATGAGTCTGATTATTTGGGATGTGCAAGAATGAAATCATTGAAAATAGCTTTGTCTATGTTCAAAATGAAGAAATGGTCCGGAGGGGTTGTGATTATAGCTCTTGCAATAATTCTGGTTTTCAGTTATAGCCTTATGGGAACTCGGACACAAAAGAAACAGTCGTCATATGATTTTTTCCGAAATCATCCAGCTGATGATTCTCATTTGGAGGACAACCATCCTGCTAAATCTCCTCAATTGGAACTGAAGAAAGCAACAAAATCATCCAAGAAGCCACATTATATAAATGTTGAAGGGCTTAGTGATTTGTATGCTCAAAACAATATTTCCAGGGATGAATCAAATGCCTTGGTTGTTTGGTTTCAGATGCGTTTGCTGCTGTCAAGGTCTGATGCTTTGCCTGAAACAAGTCAGGGGATTAGAGAGGCTTCGATAGCATGGAAGGACTTATTGTCCAAAATCAAGGAAAACAAGGCTGCCCAGCTCTCCAATATTAACAAAACAGAGGATAAGAACTGTCCATACTCTGTAAGCACAATTGATTTGACAACATCAAGTGGTGAAACAATTCTTGATATCCCTTGTGGTCTAGCTGAAGATTCTTCCATTTCAGTACTTGGCATTCCAGATGGGCACAGCAGAAGCTTTCAGATTGAACTTCTAGGGTCTCAACTTCCAGTGGAGTCAAAGCCTCCTATTGTCTTGCAGTACAATGTTAGCCTACCAGGAGACAATATGACAGAGGAGCCATTTGTTGTGCAGAATACATGGACTAAAGAACATGGCTGGGGAAAAGAAGAAAGATGCCCTAGTCATAGATCTGTTAACATCCCAAAAGGTATAAATCATTTTGATTCTTTCTTGTTTGTGACAATGCATTATCTGGAGTCCATACCTGCAGTTGTTCTAGAATTAATGCAACTCCCATGTTTTAAAATTGTATTGCTTAAACATTCCATAATTAAATGCTAGATGCAAACATTAATAAAACTCGTTGTCCGTGCAGCCATTGGACTCGTGGCACTTGGCAATCCTATGTGTTATTATTATTTTTTTAATCTTGTGTGTACATTAGTTAAATTAACTAATGATGCTTCGGTTTACAGTGTTTCTTGGTAGGGACCATCAATAAAATAGCGTTGATATAATTTAGTTAAGCAAGTACCTCGAATGGAAATAGATATGATCTAAAATTGGAACATCCATATTGCTTTGGTCAGGAGTCCTTTCATGTGACAGCAATTATAGAAGAGAATTATGGTACACGTGCTGGTATAGTAGAAGGATGTTGCTTCAGTTTAATTTCTTCTTGGGCTTTGCTTCATTTCCCTCCACAGATTAGGCTGTTTTATTTATCAAATAGTCTACACTGGATCTGGGAAATTTGCACCCGCTTTGTTTTGATTTCCTTCACGAAACTCATCCCTCATTTCAACTGTTATAATACTATGATCATGTCTTATATTTTGGATACCATCATTTTATGACAAGCTTTAGATGCCATAGAGCTGGTGCTTGGTTTCATGCAAAAATAATTTTTCATAATCTTCCATTGGATTGCATTTAAACTAGCATAGGATTATTAGCACCACTATTTTAGGAAAAAAATATCATGTCAAGTACTCTGCTGCGGTAACTGTAAACAAATGTATCTGCTCTCTGTCTTGAACACATTTCAAATTTTGTCTGGTTTTTGTAATGGGCTGGGACTCACTTACTACATTGAACTTAAAAGGAAAAAAACGAACATTAGAATAACCTTATCATTAGAATTGGCATCCTAGTCCTTTTTGAAGGATTTTTTCTTTCACGCCACCTCTTTTCCTAGTTGCATTTAATCCCAATGGCTATTCCCCCTTGAAAAACACTCCAGTACTCCAGGATTACCCTCCACTCCTTATTCCATTAACTTAAATGAAGCCGTGCTCATTGACAATCATCATTAAAACTACTATGATTCAGGTGATTTAGGAAAATAGAAACAATATATGAAAATACAAATAAAATTCATATCAACTTTAATATGATATATCAATTAGTACACATGGCTTTATTTAAGTGGATGGAGTATGGAATGGTGGATACTTCTAGAGTATTGGAGTATTTTCCATTCCCCCGCCTTTTTACATGGAAAAGAAGTTTGAAGTTTTCTTGAAATAGCAACATTATCTAAAGATTCTTGAAATAACAACAGTAATCTAACCTATTAGTTAATATGACAGTTGATGGACTTGTGCTTTGCAATGAAAAAGTTGTCAGAAGCACCATGGAAGAAAATGGAAATGCCAGTTTTGTTGGTGACGTATCAGCCAATGTTTCCCAAGGAATTGCCCATGAAAGAGCTAATTTCCCATTTGTTGAAGGAAATGCTTTCACTGCTACATTATGGGTTGGTTTGGAGGGATTTCATATGACAGTAAATGGAAGGCATGAAACATCTTTTGTGTACAGGGAGGTAAGGTATGGCGTTATTAACAGTTAAAAAAATTGAAATTTAACTTGTTGATATTATATCAGCTGCATAGTAGCGAGCATCCCATTGGATTCACTCTCTATCTGCAGAAACTTGAACCATGGTTAGTGAGTGGGGTCAAAGTGACTGGTGGTGTGGACATCTTATCTGCCTTGGCAAGAGGGTTGCCTGTATCTGAAGATAATGATTTGGTGGATGTTGAGCACCTGAAAGCTCCACTGGTAACAAGAAAGAGACTTGTAATGTTGATTGGAATTTTCTCCACTGGAAATAATTTCGAGCGTCGGATGGCACTGAGGAGGTCTTGGATGCAATATGAGGCTGCACGCTCAGGGGATGTAGCTGTGCGATTTTTCATTGGCCTGGTAAGTGATGAGTTGTAGTCCATGGCAAACCTCGCACGCACACGCGAAGACAATCTCCATATTCTTCTAACTTCCGATGTGCTATATTTTCTGCAATTTAGATTACATTTTAGCTGTATGTGCAATGTATTGGTTCATGTTTCTTAATAGCTGAAATGCATTAATGAATGCTACTTCCTGAGACTGCCAGTCTTTTTTTCTGATAAATATTGGGTAAAATAATTTACAACCATTTAGCATCTTTGATAATTAATTTGGTTTTATGCAAATCATGCCTAAGATGTGCAACATGGTTGCATTCAGAAAAATTATGTGATAAATAATTTGGTATTTTTCATACCTGCAGCACAAGAATAGTCAAGTCAATCTTGAGCTGTGGAAAGAAGCCCTGGTATATGGAGATATCCAATTGATGCCTTTCGTCGATTATTACAGCCTGATAAGTTTGAAAACAATTGCAATCTGCATTATGGGAGTATGTAATGATTTGTACTTCACCTTCTTGGTCTTCTTTACCTGTTTTGTTACTCATCAATAATCTTTGCTGAATATGCAGACCAAAATTCTCCCTGCTAAATACATAATGAAAACAGACGACGATGCTTTTGTTAGGATTGATCAAGTACTCACAAGCCTCAAGGAAAAGCCATCAAATGGTCTCTTGTATGGTCGCATATCCTTTGATTCATCGCCTCACAGGGATAGAGACAGCAAATGGTATATCAGCAACGAGGCAAGCATCCCAATTCCTGGTTGAGTTGCATATTGATTATATTTGTTCTGCTGCATTCTGATTCACCTCTTACCTGGATAGTTTTTTATTTTATTTTGATGAATGTCATTTTTTGCAGGAATGGCCACATGATGCATATCCACCATGGGCTCATGGCCCCGGTTACATTATATCACGGGACATTGCAAAGTTCATTGTCCGAGGCCACCAGGAAAGAGATCTCAAGGTAAATTTCTCTTAAAAGCTGAGAAATGCTATTGCAATATTCATTAGGTGTTAGGATCTGCTTTGAGTGGTCATGCTTTTCTCCCCTGCTTGGTAAGCCACCCGTCACGTATTTTTATCATTTAAATGCAAGCATGAAAATGTGGAAAGGTTTTCCTTAACATCTAGGGAACTGCAGAAAAAGCTAATGAAGAATTCAAGAAACAAGATCACGTTTTTTGGTTTCCAAATCGAAGAATACTAAAACACCTTCTATGTTATTATGATTGTACATCTTTCATCTCTCTCTGTCCTTAGAGTTGATGTATTTATCTCAAGCATAAGAAAAGAACAACTGAGCTACATCTGTTGGTTCTTCTTGCCTTATCTTAATTATCTTTCTGCTTTTTGTCAGCTTTTTAAACTAGAAGATGTTGCGATGGGCATATGGATTGAGCAATTCAAGAACAGTGGTCAAGAAGTGCATTACATGACTGATGACAGGTTTTATAATGCTGGATGTGAAACAGATTATATTCTTGCCCATTATCAAAGCCCAAGGTTAGTATTATGTCTTTGGGAGAAGTTGCAGAAGGAGCACCAGCCAGCGTGCTGCGAGTAAACATCAAACCTTGTCGCAAAAGCTCTGCTCTGTCAAGGTCAAGCCAAAAAGCCTTTTGGAGGGTGTTTTTGCCCTGCAGTTGCCCCAAATTTTGAGTACTTTTTTACAATAGAGATCGGAAAGGATTCCGATGGTTTTTTATTCTGATTTACACTGCCTTTTCAGTTGATTTTTTTTTTTTGTTCTCCCTCTCACCTCGTTCATTTGCTTCTTTATTTGTCATGTTCTATTGTATTTGTAATTTCTGATCGAAATAGAATTATTTTTAGATTTTGAAAAGCTTCGAGGTCCAAAATCGCAAAGCCGAGCATCACACAAGATGGAAGTTGCTGGCGGGAAGAGAGCGGGAGCGTTAATTTTACAGCCCTCGCAGTTTCACTTTGGAGTAGTAAAATTATCATATGCCCTTCTCAGGCAAAATTCTTTAGCTGGCTGTTGGTGGTAAAAATATTTTTTTATATGATTGATTTGTTATTGTTATATCAATTATCAGCTTTTTTAATATTTTAAATGTATTGTAAAATGATTTATATATTTTTAAAATTAAGAAAATAAAATTGCGTTCCATAACTTTTAAAATCATTTAATGCTTTGGTTGCATGTGAAATAATTAACTTGATTCATGATTATTTTATATTTAATTTTTATAAAATAATTTTGGTGTTGTGATTTGGGTCACTTGTCTTTATCTGGTGTTGTGATTTGGGTCACTTGTCTTTAATATTATTTTTATTTAACTTTGAATTTTTAGGTTAATTTTTTAATTTTATTATTTAATATTAATTTATTGGATTTGAGCTTTGTAATATTTTTTTATATAGAGTTATCATATCAAATTTTGATTTTCTAATTTTTTTTAAATTGAGTTTTTTAACTTAATTTTCAACATTTATTTTATTAGTAATTGAGTTTTAAATTTTTTTCATTTTTCTCTCTACAAGTTTATCATGTTATCATTTAATTTTTAATGTATTATGAAATAAAATTTTTGAGATATGTTAAAAAATTTAAAGAATATTTTTTTTATAATATTAGTAAGTATTTATTTTTTTTTATTAATCATTGATTTTTTTCCAATAATATTATTAAATACATCAAGATTATTCAATTAGTGAACTAAATCCTAATTTTTTTTTCCTTTAAAAACAATATTATCACTGGATATTATTTCATATTGGCAAAAATTTAACCCGAAATCCGCTGCAGTTTGAACCACCAATCTAGGTACCATGAAAGGGGCCGCGCACGTTTTCCACTTCCTGGACATGTCATCAGACACAAGGAGAGAGAAACTTCCAGTGTGAGCCACCTCAGCAATCTGCACGAGCAAGGCAGAATGAAATCTGATTGGAATGCAAAGAGCTGTTCACAAGCGACTGTCATCTCGACAAGTGTAGATAAAACTTGGACATGGGAACTTCGTGCACATCATTTTCTATGCTCTCCCAGGAATCAGTCATCTATTTCTCAAGATTTTGACCTTTTTCTAATATGCACACGTGGATACCCATATGCTAAGAGATCAAGATGTTGACCCCTGAGCCGGTAAATTATCCAAGAACCATACCTACACTTCTGTCATTGTAAATGACAGTCATGGAATTTTGGAGCTCGACAGTTGGTGGGTTTTGTTTTCCATCGGACCGGAGAGTGATGAGTGGTTGGTTAATGATGCTTCTAGAAACTTGTAGGCTTTGTATATGTTTACTACACGTGGCAGAAGAGAAGCCATGCATCCGTCCACCACTCTCTTCCCTGTCCCGTGTCATGTTTCACTCATCATGCCTCCACGCACGCAGCTGCGGTGTGACAAAAATGGCATTAACACATCGGTTGCTAGGTTGTCTGTCCGAATGCCAGTGACTCCATATTAACCATTTCATTATTTTTTATAAAAAAGAAATCCGAATTTGAAACATCTTAAACATTAATGCAAGATAAGCTATAGCTCATTTTTAAAATTTGATATAATAAAACTTACTCTTTGCTGGATATTTGACAGGTCATCGTTGTTTTTCCCATTCTTTTAAATTTAAATGCAGGGATAACTTATAAAACTTGAAATAAAAGGAATGTAACCTTGCAATTTGGTAACACAGAAATATTTGGTATTATAGCTGTTATTAGTTTTTAAAATGTTTATTGTTTAGAAATATATTAAAATTTTATTTTTTTATTTTAAAAAATTATCATCAGTATTAAAATAATTAAGAATCATGAAAAAATTTTAAAAATATGATTTAAAAAAAAACCCACCAAACCTGACGTATGAGGACTAAAAACATTATTTTTTATAAGGTCTGAGAAAAAGCATGTGTGTTTACATAATGGGAGCAATGGGGCCGTGTGCAAGTTTGGTTCCTAATCATTAATTTCACCACTAATGGGACACAAACGTTTCTATTGTCCGCTGAGTTGTATAAAATTAAGCAATGGGTTACGGCGTTACGCGTAGGCTAGGTCGCATTTGGATCGCATCTTTAAGTGGTTAGGATTAATTTGCATAAAATAATAATCACTCATGAGAAGTCCTTTTAGTGCTCGATGACTAGGACACGATCCATCGAACGACAAGGATTCTGGACTTTTAATTAGGAGGTTCATTGATGTCATAAAACAATCATCTTGCCGTCAGAAAGAAAGAAATACATAGTTTATTTACGTAGATGCATTGACAATCGGAACATGCACGACATTGATCTATGACGCAGATCATTTTGGCATCTTGAGTGGATATGAAAACAAGACATATTTTTACAACGAATTTGACGATCTATGGATCCATTCCTTTCAGGTGGCAAAAAATTATTATCTATAAAAAAA